AAAAAAATTTGATTGTCCTGATGTGTTGATCAATGACGGAATCTTGTATCTCTGTTGTTAATAAATTTAATGATAAAAATTTTTCAAAAACTAATTACGTTTTTTGGTAGTGTGCTGTCTTCGTGTTTAATGAGTGTAATAGCGTGTACCTGCTTGGTCCTCCGTCGCGTTGTTCGGGCGCGCACATCGATGGCCAATAATTTTTTGAGTTTGTCCTAGAGGCGAGACGGATATAATATTTTTGTTGTGATGCTTGTTGTCGATTGATTTTTCATGAAGATGGCGATGAAGATGGCAATGACGATATCAATAATTATATCGGTCAATCATTATTATTAATTGAAAAAAAAAATGAACATGGCGATTGGTGAATAAAAGAAGGGGGTGGAGAGGTGGATGCGAGCATGAGAATTATCCTCCTTGTGAGGATCATTTTCTATTCTCAAAAAAAAAAAATCTCCTAAACATTCAAAGCGATTCATTCCACGCAGTATATTCAGCATCTCATCAGTTATCGATGTTTCAATTATTTATTTATTATCTCACTATAATGAGACTATCCTCTTTACCGTACTTGATACTCAATGGTTATCCTTTTTTTTTATAATTTAGCCTCCGCCGTTTCTCGATTCATTTCGCGTCATGAGATGAATAAACGGAAATTTGATTGATAACAGAAATGAGAAAATTAAACATCAAAAATCATTTTCAGCAACGTAATTTCATTGGACGAACAGAAGCGGAAGATAAGGGTGTGAGAAGCGATGATTTTTTATGATTCGGCACTCTTTGCTGCACGTTTTTGCTCCGATAATTAATTTATCATTATCGCATATTTATAATAAAATTTCTGGGCTTTTAAACTCTTCAAAATTAATAAAATTTGAGTGTACCACAAAAGGAGATTGACCTAATTTCCAAAGACGCGAAAAAGATGTGAAAATGGTCTGAAGACGACTCCAAAGTCCATTAATCGTTCATTAAAAACCATCCATTTATCCCCACAGTAATTTTATTTATTTACAAAGTTTAATAACCCCAAAGTTCTCCCAACAGCTGCACACGAATCGATCCCAAGGGATTGTAACTTAGTAATAGTAATTGTGAGCACTTGATCTTTACGAGTAAAACTTTAAAGAGATTATAAAGTTGGTTGTGTTTGTCTCTGGCTGTAGTGATAATTTTTCAACCCCCGGAGGAGATTTCCATCGAGGTGAGAAAGCACGAAGGCCAATTAATAGCATGCAGTCACAACGTACCCTCCATCAGATTAATTACTGCTTGGAGGAGAGCATGAAGGCTGTGGAATGGAAAATTAGCGGACGCATGTAGCGAGCAGCAAAGAGACCAATGGGAGTTCTATCAGGAGTTGATTGAAGGGTAGCATCGGACCACTTTTATCTTTTTCATTTCATTTTCATTTCTCTCACATTCATTTCACGTTGAATTAAAGATTTTTAAAATGACCGAGATCACAATAAACCTCGATGTTCTATAACGACAAGTGATGATTCAGAAAAATAATTCATGATAAGAATTTCAACTTCATTCCTGTGGTCAGACTGAACAAAAAACAAAATTAGAAAAATTATTATCGATGTGATATGAATTTTGGTGGGCAATTTCGTTTTTTTTTTTTTAACACAAACACTCCGAGCAGCTCCATGATGTTAATTTTTCATGTTGTTCTCATACTCACTCACACAAACAAACAATAGGCATTCAAAAATAATGTTATCTTCTCTCTCTCTTTTTTTCTCCACTGAAAATTAATTCCCGATTGAATTATCACCAGATGATTAAGTCTCGAGACGCGCAATGAAGAGACTCCACCTAATGATTAAAACCTAGATCTAAAACGAGCACATACACAAATGCCATGAAACATAAATGTTGATTAAGCAGTGAAGTGGTTTTTATTTTAATTTCTTAGTTATCTTCTCGAGGTATTGCATCTGAGAGAGATATTTATCTTTAAAAAGTCTGGAGAGATTTTCCCAAAGCCAGTGGTTTTCGAGATAATTACCTCGTTGTTAATTAGTGGATTATCTCGATAAGTACTGGTCTTAGGGTAAATTACCAAGATCTTTCTCACGGGAAATTTTATCCTCTTCTAGATTTCTAATCTTTACTCCTTAACCCACTCATTCAAGAAATTGTTACAAAACAATCTGCAAATCCCTCTTACGTCTCCACTTCACCGCCAATCAGAGTAAACCGTTTGATCTAGAGATATTTTCCGTAGGAGTCGTCCTCTTTCTCTAATTCCCTTCAACAATTATTCCTGGATAATGAAGGAAGTCAATTATGTAAGGGAGTCAAGTCCATTAAGAACCGAAATTTTAGTCTTCATTAAAGTTAAAATTTGTTGAGAGATGATATGGATCCAGGGACGTGATAAAACATGAGGAAATCGGTTTTCCGCATTCTCTCATGGATCGACATGTAGGAAAAATAACTTTTCCGTCAAATTGCAATGGAAATGAAATATGGAATTTTCTGCGGAATTTTTTATGCAGAAATTTCTTCAGGAAATCCTATCCCACTCGGACAAATATATTCCCATATCCATAATATTTTCTACAGAAAAATCCATAGATCAATCGTATTGCAATTTTTTACAGGTGATTAGCACTATCTCATCTCAATGATGCTCCACCCCTTTTGTTTTAGACAAAATTATCTTTTTTTCTAGTGGTTTGACGAACCGTTGATCGGATTGATCCGAAAAAATATCTCGTTTTGGCATTTTATCATTATTCAATAATCAAAAAAATATATCATTATCATTAATCATTATTCAAAAAAATATATCAAGATCATGGCTTATTTTACTCCCTTGGAAGTAATTAAATAATGATAAAATGCAGTAATAATATATTTTTTTGCATCAACCCGATCGACGATTTCTCAAAAAACTCAAAAAATTTGTTTCGGCTAAATTCGGGGAGGACGTCTGTATAAAGACGAAAGTCATGCAGACGTTGAGTGATAACTGAGAATAAAGAAACGAATTATCAAAACAGGACGACTCTCGGTACAACTGAGTTGATGTGTAAGATGATGAGGACCAAGTGCCAGTGAACTCAGAAGCACATACACTGCCAGGGAATCTAATTGTTTTAACGAAAATATACGTTCTGAAATTCGTGAAACATTTTCTTTGCCATGGATCCTCAGAGTCATTAAACACGGAAACATACAGTATTATAATATATTGTAACGTAATCACGGTTCAGTATGAGAAAGAAAATATTTCCAATGGAATTGTGCAAGAAATACTTGTGTTTTTCATAATGACAATTCGAGATTATCATATACAGAACTTTTTTTTTTCAATTACGAAATTAATTATACACAGAAAAATCGTCTGTCTCGTCGAAAAAAAAGGAACAAAGGAAAAGTAGATAGAGATGTTGATTTAACGATTTCACTTGAGATTGTTCATTATATTTTAAATATTTAAACTATTTTAATATCAATTGACTCGTTTAGTGCTACCACTGGACGACTGATTAATAAAAAATGATTTGTTTCCTCAGTGATACAAACAATGATGAAGAGTACTGGTGCTGGTGCTGGTGACGGACTAAAACGAATAACGTGCGAACATATGAGGATATAACAGTATAGATATATGAAGACATCCCAGGGGCAAGCGAAGTGTCACAAAGATAAAAAGACAACGTAATGGCAACTTTAATATATAGTTCAACTACTCGGGGTGAAACAGATAGAAGTGGTAGTGGAGTGCCTTAAGTTGGCACTCGAAGCGTGAGAGAATTGTTCGATGCCATTCCACTGAGATCAACAGAAACATTTATGGCTTTAGTTTTTGAATTATGTGGAAATTCAGTGCTGTGGTGCATTCCGTAGTGAAGCCATCGAAAAGATCTCTTCATTACCAAAAACAACAGGCATTTTGTCCCAATCAGTCATTATCGGGATAATTTGGAGTCGAAAGACGAAATTGTTAGACTTCACTACTGAATTATCTTGTGAATTTTCCCTCTTCATCAACTCTTCAAATCTTCATCAGCGTTTTAATTTAATTAGGAAAATTGAGAAACTAGATTGAGTGGAGAAGCAGACGAAGAGAGTGACGAAATAAAACTGACGAATATTAAGTAAATAGTGGTTGTAAAATATATTAGATAAAAATAATTAAGTGGTGGAAAAGACTTCGTGAGGTTTATGTAAAAATCTCATCACTTTTTTTCCGACAAAGAAACTGAGTGAAATTTAATTAAAAAACTGTTTTAAAAAATTGAGTCGGAAAAATTTTCCAGGAAGAATATGTGAAGTAATTGCAGTTAATGAAAAATTGTGTAATTAAGTTATAAGTTGTAAATTCCAATTGCTGAGATACTGAAAATGTTTTTAATGGGGAATTAAATATTTCTAAAGATTTTCTAAAATTATTGTTCCTGACGTATCTCTAGTACTTAAAAAAAAATTTTTTTAATGGTTTATTAAAAATATACTCGTCCGTTCCACCACTGCAAATAAAATTGACAATTAGCATATGTAAAATAAATAATTGTTGTCTAAATAGTGTTGCCATGGTTACCTCGCGATAATTCCCGAGAGATTCTATATTGTTTATATGTATAATGATGACACAGAGGCAAATATCTAAAGGGTAGATAAAGTGAATGATGCTGCCTAGAACTCCATGATGTATGACAATTATCTCAAATCACGGCAATAGTACCGTAAAATAAAATATTGATTTTAATCGTACTAATGATGTCATTCTCGTATCTCTGGGATATTCGGAAGCCAATGCACAGCGCAAAGAAAAGTCACTACTATTTGCAAGCTTATCTAATCCACAAACAATCAGATGAGGCGGCTCGAATTACAAGATGTACAGTTACGCATCGCGAGTTATCTGATTTCTTTTTTTTTTCTTTTCAATTATCATCTCGACTAAATTAATAAATTATCGATATCGGACAGAGTTACATTATTACACGGGAATTAGAATGCTTAAGGACCTGCTTCTGCGCCATGGACTGCATCTGCTGGAACATGATCCTCTCCTCCTCTTTTCCTGAAACAGGAGAAAAACCAACGAGAAGCTCGCGAGATTGTCGCCAATTCAATCGTATCAGCAATTGATTCCACATGAGTTTTCCAATTACCCTATTTATTGCTGGATCGCACCGTGAAAAATGTAAACGTAAATTATATTTACAAAATTCGTAGGCCAACTTTTCGGGAGTGCTGGCGCAAATTAACGGTTTTTGCGATTTTATAATAAATTGTCGATCGGATTTATCCAAAAAAAAAGAAAAATTAAATAAATTTTATAAAAGTTTAGAAAGAAAGCAGGAAGATTTTTGCAGGACCATGACCTTTTGGGAGTTGTTAAATAATGATATATTATTCCGTGTCAATCCGATCAACAATTTTTCCAAAAACAAAAAAAATGAATTTTCACTAAAAAGGAGGAGAACGATTTTAAAAAGTAAATGAGGCTAGTCATCGTAAATTACCATTACCTGTAATTTACTACAACTTCAATAAATTCATTACCAATAACGTAATCCCTCGATTAACGAGAATTTTACAGTTCTATGAGTAAAAAATCCGAACAATCCGTTTGAAATCCCACATTTTCGAAGTAGGAGACGTTTATAAGAGATTTTCCTCATTCCCATAGAGCCCCCAGTTTTTCTACGTACGTGACACTCAACGCCACTTTAGTCTACCATCCACTTTCCATATTTTTCTCACAATTTTTGCATTGGAGGAATTTTTATTATTCAAGCGAATGTGGTACACGCTCCACTTGTTCCCAGTCGCTCCACTCATGTGCGTAGGATAAATCTTCTTTAATGCACTCTCATTGCATTCTAAAGTTCATCTTGGCGTCAACCCCCGCAATATAATAACTACTAGGATCTATAGTGGTTGTAGAAATAACTATTGCTACTTTGTGGCACGAGTCTTTGTGAAATTGCATTGTGCCCTATTTTCTGTACGGATTTCCTTCATTCCTTCATCTCTCGAATTTTTATTATATATTTCACCTCGTTGAGTTCATTGCTGTCTACGGATTTTATTTATAGAGACGAGAATAATATTGTCAACGCGAAAATAAAACATTCAGAAAAAACGAGAAGATAAGAAAATAATGATCGCGAGAATTTTATTTTATCTTTAAACAGGATTCTTAGATCTCTTCGAATTCTGGATTTTAGTTGTCTGCAATTAAATTCCGGTGTTATGGATTGATGAAACAGAAACTTTTAATAAGTTTTTCTTATTATGATTCTCTCGTGTTTATTATTCAGTTTTTATATCACTCATTGTTCTGATAAATTATTGGTAAGATTGAAATGAAAAAACATAAGGTTTTGCGTTGTTTTTACTGTTTTGTCATTCTATTCAAAAGTTCAGTAAAAATGGAAGAAAATGGTGGTGCACCTTGAAACTTTGTGAGTCATTAAATAAAATAAATAATGGCAAACCGTAAAAACATTTTTTCACGTTTTGAAATCGTAATTTACGTTTAGATTTTTCCGTTTATTCCATTTCTATACGCGCGTGATCGTGACCTTTACCCTAGTTTTACAAATCAATGATGGAGTGTTTGATAAATAAGTTCCCCTTGTGTATCAAAGATCCCCAGTGACTAGAACTCTTGGTGATATCATTTGAAATCCTCGTCTAACGTTAAATTCTCTGTGGAAATACATTCTCACGGAATGCTTTATGTTATTGTTCCGACGCACCGAGAGAAATAAAAAGTATGGAAAAAAAAAATATTATCTCACCCATTCCTTTGTTCTGGAGCATTTCAAGGAGCTTTTTGATGCTTTCATCGCGGGCTTGCAGTGTTTGCTTTTGAGTTTCTATTCTCAGCTCAAGCTCCTGAAAAAAAATAAACAGAAATTCAGTTGTCAGTTCGGTCGTTTATGAATTGTCAAGTTTCTCATTTGTAGAAAGGATTTTTTTTATTTTTCAATTTCCAAATGAGTTCAATTCCTTGAATCCAATTCCTCGGGTGTGGATGAAATATTTATAAAAAATAACTGGCAAAAAATATTGATTTATATTTTTCAAATCGATATCGTCGAACGCAGTACAATATTGGGAATAGGAACTATCAGTGAAATTTACAATTGAATTTTCAATGTTGTGGGGTTTAATTTAATTGAACATTTTATCTCTAGTAGAAGCTCCACCTTTATTGGAGAAATTCGAAAATTCTGAATTTTCCCGGTGAGCGGTTATTGATACTTTGACAGCAGCTTGAATTTTAAATCTCGTTACGACCCCTAAATATCACATTCGATTAAATTTCCAGTAACTCCAGAATTCAGGAGTTTTTTCGTTATTGTATACCATCCAATCAAAACGGTAGATTTTTTTACACCAAACAAATCCAGGATTTCCCAAAAATGTATAAAAAAAAAAAGAAGAACTAGCTGACGTCGTTAATTTATTCAGAAATTCAAGGCGAAAAGTATTTTAGAAAGCCAACCTCACAGTTAAATAAACTCCCCTCACATTTAATAATTTATTTACAGAATTATGACGGAGATTTCCACAGTCTGTAGCGTAAACTTAAGAAAATTAGAGATAAAATTGCTCTGAGAAATAGAAATGTATAAAATAGACGTAGGCTAGAGTTTATTTGTTCAACGTTCAATGAAAGTGAGTAAATATTCATGAGTGCATAGGTGACAGGAGCAGGAATGGGTGACATTCACACTACACACACTGTCTTCAGTCATACCACCGAGTACATAACGAATTTATGACACCCCCTTTGACGACGGAAATGCAATTAAGCTAGAAATAGTCTTGCCAAGGGGGAATCCCATCCTCCAAGGAAAACACCCCTTTGCTGGATGGTTCACCAACTAGCGCGGGACTTTTGAACAGTTCTCCATTATCCCATCAGATTAACTCTAATTTCACTTTTTAAATATTTCTCTATAAAATTTATTGTCTCATCGTTGCTATGAATGAGCACGAGTGCGATATTAAATTAGGGGTGTAATGTTGTTAATGAGTTAAACCTCCGTTGCTTAATCTTAAGAACTTCCGCAATACGTGATGAATGCAGAAATTACGTAGTATGTAGCATCTGAGATTATTCTGTCATTTAATCGGGTTGTCAGATTTTGGAGATTGAAATGTTGTTGGAAGATCTAAACGGAATTGAAGTAGATTAATATTGATAATTCCTAAAAATTTACAACTGTTATGAATTGAAATTATTCACGAAGATTTAAACAATTGATGGGACAGTAATTGTTATATTTTGAATTATTTTATTAATATTTATTTATTTGATTATTGTGGAACGAAATCGATTGCCGATGCATTTCACCTCGATCATGCTGATAATCTTTAGTTTATTGAATATATATTGTTGTATAATATATTAAATATATTATGTGTATATATTTTATATAAATAGAGTAACATTTCCACATATTTCTTTGTCTATGTCTCATTCGAATATTTTTTAATGCAAAAATCTCCAGCCCGAGAAACGACAAGAATTAATAATTTTTTATTCCTCACGCTAACATCGGTTATTATAAATAATTCCGGATCGACAAAGATAATTCCAGTACGATTTAATATTGAAAAATTCACATGGTTTGCATGACGAGAATAAATTACTTGAGTTTCATAAAAGATGAAAGGACTGGAGCATCCAGTGAAAAAGAAAAGTTTCGTCATACGTGACTTGAGATTTCTCAGGATGAGAACGTGACGGAGTGGATTTTGGCTTTGCCCAGGGATATCTGGTCATGGGTTAGAGTTAGGAGCTATACCACTGATGTCCTAGTGAGAATTCACTAGTTGGAAACGAGGGTGAATAATCGAGGGATGCGATAATGAGCGAGGGAACGAGGAAAGCGTCTGCATAATCTGGCCTTTGGCCAAAGGCGACCAGTTGCTTGTCGTACGTCATTGTGCGATTAGTTTGACCTGGAGATTCACTCGGACATGTAACTCGGTGAATTCACTTACTAAAAACGAAATATTACGGTTATTTCTAACTTCGTCGTGATAATCTCCAAATGGACAGGTGAAAAACAAATTTTCGTTTCATCGCGTCCTTTCTTCATTGATTGAAATTTTGGGCTCGGAATAGTTTTGTCATCAGGTAATGAGGTCGCGTCTCTCGTAATTAAAATCTCCGCCTAATGACCAAAAGCTAGAAATATCTTTTCACCACGATCTGCTGAAAAGTGAATTTTTACGCACTCGAAGGGAATCTAAAAAGAAAATACTATAGAAATAAATAAAAAAATACTAGAAATAATCTGCGAGTGAAATTTGTACTCCGAAATCGTCGAAATTCGGTGAATTTTCCATTTTTTAGTGCTTCGACAAATTATTGATGGGCTTGACGCAAATAAATATAATATTTTCCCATTCTCCTGTTATTTAATGACTCAGGAATTTCCGCACTCGTGCGATTATTTCCATGGGTATTTTTTTCACAGTATTGCGCCTTTTTATTCCGAGGAAATCCGGCATTTCGAAACTTCATGAATCCCAACAAAATAGCAAAACGCAAAAACTTTACATTTTCTCAATTTTAAAAACTCAAATTTTTGTGGAATGGCTACAGAATATTCTTAAAATAATAAATATTGGACAAGTGGTTTTAAAAATTCGAAATATTGACATAATTTGAATAATGCATTTGCCCTGTATCTACCAGAGCACAAAAGCCCAGAGAAATGCAAGAATATCACAATGTGCAGCATCATGTAGCCTCGTTAGCCTCTATCGTCCCAAGAAGTCGTGAAAATGCCGGAAGATAGGTTTGAGGTTGATGTGGAACGATTTTTCAACGAACCCACATGCACGATAAAATAAATGGCGTCTCGTGCCAGGAATTTTATTGTACAGTTCGTCCACCTCTTCACCGGTAAGGGGTCATCAACTCGTGATAAAATACATCTAGATGCCAACAGAGCTGTGATCGTCGCAAGCAAAAATGTCAGGGTTATTTCAGGATTGTAAACACTGAATTCCCTTTTGCTTTCTTATCTATTGTATTTTTATTTTTACCACTTCAGAATGCGTTCTATTTTCGATAAGAAAAGTCATTACAAGTTTGTATTTTCTCTAACGATGCGCACGTGAACGCCAATTGTATTCAATCCATTAATGCAATATTTTGATTCATCTCTACGATTTGTTGGAAATTGTTGGGAATTGTTTATTTAGTCTGACTGTCGAGTTGTGATTGGAACTTTCTTTTTTCTTTCTTTCTTTCTTTCTTGTGGTGATAGCGTAAATTTATAAAAGCATTCGGTTGTTATTATTTTGGTGCGTAATGAAAATTTTTGGTGCAAAATTAATATTTACAAGAAAATCTGAGTAAAAATTGCATACGACAAAAAATTAGAATTTCCGCACAATTTTCACTCAGTGATAAATCATTTTTATCCTAATTTACTGATAAGAATCCCTGAATTACTGATTACTAATCATTACCCTCAATTATATCCGATTCTAAAAAGAACAGACTAATCGAACTCGTAACCTATCGATATAAAAAAAAATATAAAAAATACATAATAAAAAATATAAAAAATAATATCGAATATAGATGACATCATACATCATCATATCAATATTAAACAAGTAATTTAAATTGAGGCGTAATTAATTTAAAAAATTTTCAATAATGATTTTATTATTGCATTCTCATTCCGGTTTTGTAGAGGAAAATCTTTGCGTCAGCACAAGAGACAGAGCGGAAGATATATATATATATTGGGTATATGTATTTAGCAATATTTTACAAACAACGGGATGTCCATTGTTAACAGCTTTGTGAGAGAGACTTTCATAATCGAGAACTGCTGGAGGCTCGAGCCTCAAGTCTCGTTACCGAATTCACGTCTGACCTAAAATGCTTTTACCACTGTGATCCTTTGCATTTCCTTTGGCTCTTACTGTTCCTTTGCTCTTTGTACTGCTTACGCTAAAACATTTTTGTTCATTCTCTCGGAAATGTGTCGCGTATAATAAAATCAAGTTCTCTGAGTTTAATGGCTCTTTTTTTTTTGTTCGGCTCTCGTGCTGTTTATGTAGAAAACCACGAGTGTCAGTTCGTAAAAGTTGATTAAATCCCGGTTCAATCTTCATAAAGGCGATGGCTGATGATGTTTGCGCGTTAAAGGGGGGTGTAAATTTAGTGGTTGGTTTCATCAAAGTGTCTCACCTTTATTGTGTCTCTCAGGATGGCGATCTCCCGCGTTAGGTGCTCATTCTCGTTGTAAAGTACTTCCATTTGCTGCTGCATCTCAACACTAGGACCCCTCATCCGCATTCTTAATTCTTCCTCCAATTGTCTCACCATCATACTTTGTTTCTGAAATTAATAATAAGTCTTTTATTAATTTATTGGATGAAAATTTATTTGAATTCTCGTCACGTCTTTAGATTTTTACTTTTTTGAAAAAGCAGAAGTAGAAGTAGCGAAGTGGTAAGCGCAGTTAGCCAATATCTCGGAATTGAAGGAAAATATCGATTTTTTTGCCAAAACCTTTTTTACAGAAAAAGATCAGAGGCAGAAAAAAGGTATCTATCAAAATTTCATTATCTTTCTTCAATTTCGAGAAATCAACAAAATTACAGGTCACGAAAATTCTTTATTACTCGATCGAGCAATAACCGATAATTTTGAAGTTTTTGTGGTATTACAATTGAATATTATTCTCTGTGGGTTTTAGAATATTTCATGAGAAGGGTCAATAGTGGTACTATCGACGGGGAAAATAGTGGTTGGCACAAGGGGTTGTGGGGTAAATTGCAAACCGACATCACAACAGAGTAGAAAATGTCGGGGATAGACAACTTCGTTCCCACTGGGACAATTTCGTACGCGTATGAAATCATTTGTTGTACATCAACTAACGCTCCACGGGGGTCGCATTAATTCTCGGTACACCGGACAATTGCGTCAATCCCTCCATCAACGTTGTACATATGTGACACTCGTCCATGCTAGTTGTACAACTAATATAACTGTATTCTGATTCATTGGAGATGTCCTGCGGGTGCTCCATTCGGAAATTGTCTGGTAGATAAATATGTGTTGTTTCATTTGTATTTACTAGCTAATATGGCGCACTCCACGCGCCTAATCTCACACGTGTGAGGTGTTATCATGTGGCATCTAAAATCTCTAAAAAAATTACCCATAATTTTCGAGGAAGTATTCACTGAAATTTGAAAATTCGAAAGTTTGGGAAAGTATCAGGAGAGCATGAAAATCGAGGAGGTATTCACTGAAATGTTTGCCCTATTCAGAACTCATGAGTTTTCCCGAGAATTTTCACGATGGAAGATATCGACGTAAAAATTTCTGGAGGTACCGTAAAAATCATTCTGAATCATCGCCCGACGTTTACTCAAAACTAATTTTCTCTCTGCTGCGTGAGACACTTGAACGAAAAAATCAAAGAGTTCAAGGGCATTATGACAGGAAAATCCCTGATGATGTATCGAGGGATGGAATGTCTATCCCAAAGGGCACATAACTGTTAAGAGATTGTATCGATGGATAACCGATGCCAATACAGCAAAGCTATTCAGCTATCGTGTAGTGAGCAGCGATTGACCCGATTATTCCAGGAAATCTAGCGACGCGTGACGTCACACCACCCTGAGGCCACACCCCGTACCTCGTGACGTCATTACACCCTTTAATACGCCAAGGCCTTTCCCTCCCCTCACCAATGACAGGACATCCAACAACTTTTATCCCTCTACCCTAGACAACCTCCGGCATTGCATTCACCATCTTTTCTTCAACCCCCAACCCCTTCCCTGGCACCTGGTGCTCCACACCCTTCCAACTCTTACGGGAAACTTCTCCATAAAAAATTCGGAGAAAAGATGAAACTTCTCGGATAACACTGACGACTGCTCATTTTTTTTATGGAAATTTCGGCGGAATTCGTTGGAAAATGGGCAGTGGAAAGTTATATGGATGCGGGAAAGAAAATTCAATGGAAATTACCAGGAAAGACGGAAAAATTGGAAGTTGGATTATTTGGATTATTACAACTTGATGTAGTTTTATGATTGATCATTTTTCGCGGAATTTATTTTCGCCTTTGTCGAATTTTTCGTTTTCCCAAGTCTAGGGGATAAATTTTTACTCTGAAGTTTGAGAGTTATCGAGAAAAGATGAGATTGCTGGATAAAAATCAGAACTTGTTTACGGATATCTTTTCAGAATTCAACAGCGGAAATTCGCAGTAAAAAAAAGTGGAGCGGCAAGACGAGAAAAATTTGAATAAAAATTGTCATTAAAAAATGCAACGATTTATTTAAATGAATTACTCCGTAATTATTCATGAATATTTATATAAACAAATAAATCACAAAATGTCACGTATTTGCGGACTAAATCGAGGTAATTACCTGAAGAAGATGCTCTAGTGGTTCACACAATGTGTTGTGTTGGCAAATGAGAAACTCGAATATTGATTCTAGCTCTATGACTTACGTCCGAACAATTAGTTGAAGCACTAGTTTTCGGATGAGGGGATCAACTAAATTGACGTCTTCACTAACAAATCGTTGGTGATGGCGGCTACGTACATTCTTCAGAATATTTATTCAACATTTCCGGCACACGTCTCCGAGATATCCGACAAGTAATTCCATAAGAGTGCATTTTTTTCGAGCCCAATTTTCAGTCGATATCTCAGAATTGAAAGGAGATAACCAATTTTCATTTTTTAAACAACAGAAAAATTATATATATATAGTAAACACATGTCCATATACATCAGAAGATGTAGATATATGTAATATGAATATATCTCAATTTTTTAATATATATATTAATTTTTTTTGATTTTCGTTGAATACATAATTTTGTTTAGGACAAAAATCATTTTTATTTTCATTTTCATCTTCATTTCCATTTTCATTTGTTTAAAAGAAAAAAAATAATTGATATAAAATTGTTAGAGAATGATTTCTTGGATTTCTTGGATTTCTTGCTTCGGATAAACCTGAATTATTCAGTAATTGGTCTTGAGAGTGTAATTACAAAATTATTTAAAAGTAAGAGTTTGTCTCGTGTCAATTTATAGGTATCTGTCTCGACTGTTATGAAGTGCTTTAGCCTCCTCCAGAGGCATTAACCTCTCGAGACCAGGGGTAAATTCGATTTCCTCACCCTTTCCCTATTTGTCTGCTCCACCTCTTTTTCTTTCAATCCCTCTCGTGTCCTCGCATCGTTATGGTTAATCTGTATTCTCCTTGGGCGATTCGAGAAAATAAATTCAATGCACAGAGGAGACAAGAAAAGTACACACGAGGTACTGAGGGAAAATATAGATAAAGCGACATGGTTGTTTTGGGTTTAAGACGAAGCCCTTTTTCTTAGATCCTATTACCTATCTTGTGTACACTGCCTCGGGTATTTTATTTTAAAAGTCAATTCCATGTGGAAACAAACAAAAAATCGATAACAAAGAGAATAATTCTAGTTGAATCACAATAATCTTTCAGTAACTGATTAAAAAATAATTTGTTGTCCAAATTCATTCCAGCCCGATTCAATTTCTAAACCACAAATCCAGATTCAATTACAGAAATTATCATTTAGATTACAATTTTTTAAATGAAAATTCCGACGTTTTTGAGTTAACGGAGAAGAATAAAATTTTTTTATGGATGGACTGATCGTATTCTTTATAACGACAATGTCAATGTCCGTAAAAATTCCGTCAGAGGCAATATGTTGTATGATTACTAGCCGCCAGGGGAAATTTTACTATAAATTTTTCTTCGTGTAAATTGGACACTTTGTTAGGAATGAAAGTGACATGTCATGTGCCATCTAGCCGTAATTCTCAGGAGACTGGCTTGTATTACATTTCAAGAAGAAGAATAATAACATTTTAAGTTTGTTTAATAATTCGTGAGAATTCCAAGATTATTTCAATATTCCATTAACAATATGAATATTCAGAGATATTAAATAAGATTAATAAAATAATCGTATGATACATCTAATTTCTATTTGATATTTTCAACTTTCATTTTTATTAAAAATATAAAATATACATATAAATAATATATGTTTGTCACAGGCTTTAAGAATGTCACACTGAATTTAGAATTTTTTAAAGGGAATGCCGCGAGTCAAACGAGTAAATTGATAAGGATATAATTTTCAGTGGCGATGCCTTTAATTCACTTCCAGAGACGCAGCCACAGATAAAAAATCCACTGTAAATTCACGATAATTGGTACTATGTGAATAAAAATAACATGTGATTATCGGGAGTATAATGCATAATACCACGAGAATTTGCGGGCTGCGAACAGGCCGGTATTATGTTTTATCAAAAACGGATAATCCGCCGGAAGCAATTTCCCACAGGCTGAATCTTGATTGAAAGGCAACATTGCCAGTGAAATACCACAAAGTTATCACACTAAAAAAAACTCTAGAGTACATCTTTTGTGCTCGACCATTACTGCAATCCCAGAACTCTCGTGTACCTCACATTTTTTTTTTTTTTTCGTTTTTCAATGGCACGAGTGGTTATACTATTCCACTGGACTGCGGGTCGTCGGTTTGACGGTTTTTGTGCTGATATCGCACTGATCGTCTTTGAGGTTGCTTCTTTCCATTCCCTTTTAGAGATGAGGTTTCAATATTAGAAATGGCGTATGTAGATAGGTGAGGGTCTCACAGAACAGAACTAGAAAATTTTGTAGCGAAATGGTAAACTAGGGTAAGTGCATTTTTTCGAGCCCAATTTTCAGTCGATATCTCAGAATTGAAAGGAGATAGCCTATTTTTCGTATAGACATTTTTTATAGGAAATGATGAGACCTAGAGAAAAGGTATTCACGAAAAAATCGTTATCTTCCTTCAATTTCGAGAAATCGGGTAAAATTGGCGTCGAAAAAATGCACTTATGCTAGTTTACAACTTCGCTAAAGAATTTTTGTTTGAGTTTAAAAGAAAAACTGATGGAAATTCTTTGAAAATTGAAGTGAACAAACGAGGAGTCATAATTCTATAATAAATGAGAATTTTTTCTTATTTTTTTTTTCAATAAACAATTAATTCCTGAAGTAAAATGAATTCCTGGCTGAGGTAGACTTGAATGTCAAAAACACTAGCACCTCGAATATTCGTTTCGCCTCTTCATCACCCCCGAAATCCCTGTAATTTCCGGTGAATCCGGTCGATTGCTAATTCGACGAGGTCGGCATGCCCCAGGCGTATCCGTCAGAGACATTTTTCCGGTGTCGCCGGCTCTCAGACAAACCTCGGGGATAAAAAAGGGTTGTGTAAAAAAGGCAAAAATAATGAAACAAAAATCGCAGAGC